TCCTGCCTACACGGCAGAGTCTGGCAAGCTCCCCGTGGCGTATTTGATATGCCAAAACCCAGTAACAATGATGGGTCTCATTCCCCTAACCCTGAAAGAGCCTCCAATGTGGCACTTGCTAAAATCTCAGGGCTAGGACAAATGGAGACGTTACTGATACCTGCTCAAGGAAATCAATGAACAATGGGATGACAGTGAAACAGTAATACACACACACACACACACACACACACACACACACACACACACACACACACATATACCAAGGCAGACAGGGTTTGGCACAATTTTTAGGCCTCGTGAACCATTTATTCTCTTTGCTATGGCTTAGCTTCACAGGACAGCAAGAAAGCAAATCATAGATGATCATAAAGGAGTAGTTAACTTCCAGTAAAACTTTATTTACAAAAACAATCAGTGGGCCAGATTTGGTCCAGGGGGTCTTAATTTGCAGATCCCTGAAAAAAGGTCTAAAATACCCAGAAGTGAGGGTCAGAGACACAGTACAGCAGGTAGGGCTCTTGCTTTGCACAGGGCCAACCCAGATTCGGTCCTCAGCACCCAACATGGTCCCCTGAGCCCACCATAAGTGGCCCCTCAGCACAGAGCCCAAGGTAAACCCTGAGCACCACTGGGTGTGGCCCCAAACAAAACAAAAGAACCCAGGAGCTTGGTGCCCAAGAGGGTGGCTCAAAGGGCTGCTGGCTTTGCAGCTGGAGGCTGTGGTTCAGTCCCTGGCACAGCCTGACTCCCCAAACAAGCCTGGAACAGCCCCCATCCACCCCAGCACCAATGGTGTGACTCCAAAACAAAACAAAATAACCCAGAAGCCATCAAAACTGGTTTCCTTTTAGTCTCTTCTATGAAAGAACCAAACTCAGTCATTTTGCATGGGGCACAGTTTTGCCCAGACTCTTGGGTGCTGCTTTGGCGTTCTCAGCTCCCCTTGGGGCCTTACTTCCTCTTCCGTGTATGTGTCTCCCTTTCTTCACTCTTCCTCTGACTCACAGTGCTGAACTCTTCTAGGGTGAGACTCGTCACACTCATCCTTGATAAAATCCTGCTTTCCAGCCTGCTATCTGCACTGGGCTAAAGAGGCGTTTCTCTTGTGCAATAGATTAAAGCAGCATTTTTTTTTCTTTTTGGGCCACACCCGGCAATGTTCAGGGGTCACTCCTGGCTCTGCACTCAGGAATTACTCCTAGCAATGTTCGGGGAATCATATGGGATGCTGGGAATCGAACTCAGGTCGGCAGTGTGCCAGGCAAAAGCCCTACCCGCTGTGCTATTGCTCCAGCCCCTAAAGCAGCATTTCTCAGGCCCCAGGATATTCCAAGGAAGGCACAAGCTAAAAGTTACATAAATGGGGGTGGGGGACGCGGGCACGAGATTAGGAAGCTGCCCAGTAGGACAGAAGGGCCATAGGAAGGAAAAAAGGTCAGAAAGGGCCACAGTGAAAGAAGGCCTGAGAAAAATGGGTCTAGACCGTAACTTCTGCAATTCCAGGGGTCACATGACTGAATATGGGCGTCACACACACATACACACATACACACACACACACAAAATTAGCAACAATAAAAGTTTTCTGAACATACAACCACCAAAAAAATCAATTCAAAATCATTGTGTACCTGAGATGGTTCTAGCCCTGCTCAATCATGTCCCCTTTCTCAGGCGGAAAGGGGTGGCCAGTGGAAAAAGCTGAAAAAGCTGCTCAGAGGGCCAGAGGGACAGCAGGGAGGGCATTTGCCCTGCACACGGCCGGACCAGGATCAATCCCTGGCTTCCCATCTGGTCTCCTGAGTGCAGAACCAGGAGTAACCCCTGAGCATCGCAGGTGTGGCAAAAAGACAAAAATGAGAAGGAGGAGAAGGAGGAGGAGGAGGAGGAGGAGGAGGAGGAGGAGGAGGAGGAGGAGGAGGACACTTCTCTGAATCACTAGTTAGGACATGCCACCAATTTACTGTGTGACTTTGGGCAAATTACCTGACCTCTCCCAGCCCTCCCATCAGCTGTCAGTGAGGGAGCTGGCCGATGGAGTTCCAAATTCCCTTCCAGCTCAAAGCTGGGGCTTTTGAAAGCTGCACCCGCACTCTAGGCATTTTCTGAGGCATCAACGAGGATGTCACTCACAGACCTTGGAGCTTTTTACTAAGGTGGAACGGTGGTGGGATCGGTGATGAAATATTGAATGTAATCAATTATTGTGAACAACTTTATGAAAATTAAATTGAAAAAAAATTTTTTAAAAAGGAGCTTTCCATGGGCAGGAGGCCACGGAAACTAACTTTGTGGTCTCTTGAGGCTGAAGCCTCCCAAGACTTTCTAGCTGAAGCTAACCCAGCCTATCCTGCAGCCGTAAGGAGGAAAGGAGCACCCCAAGCCCAGCATCGCTGCTCCCCAGGAAAATTAACTGGCATTCCCAAACTGCCACTGAAATAGCTACAGGGTGCACATAAACACTAACATCACTGAAAACAAACTGCTAGGGCGCTTTGATGAGAGGCTGATCTCAGGGTCTCCCTACTGGGGATACCCCTCAGAGACCACCAAATAAATATGCAAATAGGGCAGGAGGAAGTGGGGGCTGTGGGGGAGTGAAATGAATGAGCTGGGCAGGGACTGAGCAGCAGTGCGATGCTTGCTCACATGTGTGAGCCCTGAGGACAATCCCTGACAAACACACAATAAATAAACACAAATGAGGGGCTGAAGACGGTGGGCACCTGCCTTACACACAGCCTATCTGAGTTCTGTCCTTGGCATCCCATATGGTTCCCTGAGTTTGCCTGAAGTCATGCCTGAGCAACAGTCAGTAGTAAACCCTTATCATAAGCAGGTGTGGCCAAGAAAGAAAGAGAGAGAGAGAGAAAGGAAGAAAGGAAGGAAGGGAGGGAGGGAGGGAGGGAGGGAGGGAGGGAGGGAGGGAGGGAGGAATTAGCACATTCCAGCATATACCAAAGGAAAGCTGTCTTTTCTATCAGCAAGGCTGAGGAAGAAGGAGGCAGTCTGGATTTTGGCTGAGTCAGAAGCTGATGGGTGAGTGGACTTGTGGGTATAGAAACCGCCCCCCACCAGGATTCTGTGCAGGCTGGAAAGAGAGCTGAGAAGCCCACTGCCAGTCTCCCCAGTGCTTACTGCTGGACTCGGCTAATGCTGCTGCATTGGAGCCTAAATAATTCACTCACCAATCTCCCAAGATGCATTAGAAGAAAAACAAAACCCAGCTCTGCTTCGTGTTCAGGTTCCCCGGCACAGAAGGCAGGCAGGAGGGGGTGTTGTGGGCTCTGCCTTCAGAGATCCTGCGGTGGCCTGTGGCCACATCCCCAAAGGCGTGAGGCCTGTCCTTCTGCCCCCTCCAAGCTAAAGATGACCTTCACATTTTCCAAACAAAATGAAACAATACAAACCAATAACAAAGATTGCCACAGACTCTTTAGAGGCCAATGAAGTCTGAAACCATTATCTGGTCCTCTTCCAAAAAAGGTCTGCCAACCCTTTGACCTCATGACCCCACCTGAGAAGAGATTTGAAGTGGTCAGATTTGTGATATTTACAGTATCATGGGAAGCTGGCATGATAATTTGTTCCATTATCAGAGGCAAAAACTAAATCTCACCTCCAGAGCAGTATGGACAGTCTTGGTTTTAGGGTTTGGGAAAGAAGGGAGATGAGGGAGGGACAGACCTTCAGCTTCAACCCATCTTCTCCAGGATCATAATTTAGCATTGTCCACTCTGGGCTGGCCCTCCCTGTGAACCCTGACCATACACACACACACACACACACACACACACACACACACACCTGCAGTCCACTCTGGGCTGGCCCTCCCTGTGAACCCTGACCATACACACACACACACACACACACACACACACACACACACACACACCTGCAGTCCACTCTGGGCTGGCCCTCCCTGTTAACCCTGACCATACACACACACACACACACACACACACACACCCTGCAGTCCTGTCTGCCCAGCTAACCTCCCTGTGAACCCTGACCCTCCCCCCGCACACACACACACACACACACCTGCAGTCCTGTCTGCCCAGCTAACCTCACTGGAAGTGATTCCAGCAGCTCCCAGCAGTCCCTGAGGCTCTCATGCTTGTGCTAATGAGATATCTAAGTAAGTAGCTTGTCACTGAGGCCCCATGTCCCAGAAGACTCCTTAACCACTGAGGGTGCCAGCCTGACCATACGAGCCCCAGAGGTTCCAGCCAGCCCCCAAGGGGCCCTTCTCCTGATGAGTCTTGAAAGGGAGAGAACTGTGGCCAGTTGGAGACCACACTCAGGCCTCGTCTGGGAGCCGGAGACCCTGTGAGCTACACCCTGAGGGAAGAGCTGGGTGTTAAGAAGCAGGTCTCAGATGCCCAGCTGAGATTTTCAAGTGACCTGTTTGAAAGCCAGGTGAGACAGGAGAATAGAGACCCTCTATCTGGGACCCGCCTATGGAGACAGAACAGGGCCTGCTCTAGCATCGCCTGAGAAAAATGTTGCTGCTGTCCAGCCAGTAAAAACTCAAGAGAGCTAAAACACTAAAGGCTCCGCATGGATGACAGCAATCGCATCAAGTCAGAAAAAGAGGGAGGCCACACAGTGAAATTTTGGGCAAATAACTTCAGTTCTCTAGGGTTCAAGCTTCCTTGACTTCCTCAACTAAAACAAGCAAGCAAGGAAGTCCCCAAGGTGCCTGTACTGAGATTCAGTTAAGGTGCCATCAATCCTGTCCCCAGTGAACCACCCAAACCAGGTCTTGAATCTGCTGAAGCTTTCCTGGGAAATGGCTTCATCACAGCTTTCCTTCTCCAAGCTAATCCAGTCCCATCCAAGCAAGAGACAGAGGCATAGGGAAGAGTTTCTCCACAATGTGGTAGCTGGGAATTCTGACTGCTGTGAGGATGTGTCTTGTGTCTTCTGAAGAGCTGCAGGAGTCTCGTTCCCATTCCTTCACTATGCCCACTGCATGTGGCTAGGAGGGACCATCCAGTACCACATGTGTCAAGTCAATGATTCAAATAATCTTTCATCCACTTTCTGACTTGACTGGACATTCCTCAAGGACAAACTGGGTCTTGACCTTCTCTGTCCCCAGGAAGAGCCCAGACCAGGAGATATGAAGCTGGAGACGGTGTGGATCAAATGCAGAATGGAAATGTCCCTGGGCAGACTTGAGCTCTATTGGGCTGTGGGTGGGGAGTGTCCCAGAGGTGAATCTCCAAATTTACTGCCTGATAATTGGGTCCATTTCTCAGTCCATAGTCAATTAAGCTATCGTGTGACCTGGAGAGTAACAGGGAGGATTACAGGACAATATAACTAGCCCATCCTACTGGGCCGGGAGGCAGGTCCAGCCCCTCTCACCCCCTCCAGCAGCGCAGACTGGGAAAGCAGGGCCAGGCCAGGCTCGGTCAAAGTTGGCTTCCGTGTGCTGTTCACAACACAAGTACCAGCCACAAACCAGACCCATGCAACAGTGGGTCACAGGCTTGCTGGTGGGTCTCTCATCGCCTTAAATATACTTGAAATGGCCAAGCCCCAGGCCTGCAAGCTGACAGGAAGCATGTTTACAACATGCACTATCTCACCGTACCCCTCCATTCTGTGCTCTATGGAAACACTGCTTTCCTCCAAGCCTTGGAGGCCTCACTTCTTCCCTTTTGGGGGTAGGGAAGTGGGAAGGGGTATGTGGGGCATTCCTGGTGGTGACTAGGAATTACTCCTGGCTCTGTGCTCAGGAGTCACTCCTGGTGGTGCTTGGTGGAACTTGTGGTGCCTAGGAGTGAACTGGGGTCCACCAAGTGCCAGGCAAGCACCTACACCTGTACTGTTACTCTGGCCTCTCTTATTCTTTCTTTGGTTGTTTTTGTTGTTTTTGGGAGAAGGGAGGCCACTCCTGGCAGTGCTCAGGGATTACTCCTGGCTCTGCATGTAGGCTTCACTCATCACAGTGCTCGGGGGACCATATGTGGTATGAGGTTGTGCCAGGCAAGCACCTTGCCTGCAGTACTATCTCTCCAGCCTCCTCTCTTATTTTTTTTGAGAGGTATTTGCTTGTTTGCAGTGGGGGTGGAGGGCAGGCAAGGGAGGGCCAGCACTCTGGCCTGGCCCAGTGTCACTCATCTGTCCCATGCAACGACAGAGTAGTGCCACTGATTCACCATGACACAATGGCATCACTGAAGAGCTTGATAAAATTTTCATTACCCCTTGTTCTGTGAAGCGGGCAGCAAACCATGAAAACAACCATCCTCTTGAGGGTTATCAGAGCATGGCAGTTTGACAGAAAGGCAGCTAGGAGCTGAGGGAGTTAATGATTGGGAGGTGGGGCACTGTGATGGGTTGGTAGGCAAAGCCACTATAGGAATGATCCCCTACAGAATTATCTAGATCATTTCCTCAAGTCTCCTCTTTGTTCTTATAGACTTGACACTGTCTGGGAGGCAAAGTGGCTCAAGGCAAAGAGAAAGCCAAAGCCTTTGGCACACAGAGACTCACTCTGAAAGACACAGGACTGGGACTGGAGCCATAGCACAGCAGGAAGGGTGTTTGCCTTGCACATAGTTGAGCCGGGTTCAATCCCTGGCATCCCAAATGGTCCCCTAAGCATCGCAGGAGTGATTCCTGAGTGCTCAGCCAGGAGTATCCCCTGAGTACTGCTGGGTATGACCCGAAAAGCCAAAAAAAAAAAAAAAAGACATGCAGGACTTCAGGGGCAAAGGCCCTAGCTCTGGAGCCAGAGTCAGGAAAAATCCTGGGGAGCACCCAAGGCTGTGCCCATTGGGATGTCACCCTGGGCAGGGGCAGGCAGGGCAGGGAGAGAGGGATGGAGAGGGCTTCCGCGCTACCTTGGTGGTTTTGACCTTGTGGCCACTGCTGCAGCTCCATCCTGAGAGGTCTGGGAGCACTCTGCACTCCTCCCCCTGCAGACAGGGCTCCATCTGACACCACCACCTCTGCGCGACGATGGAGGCTGTGGGAGCAGAGGCAACAGGGACCGCTTGGCGGCGTGTCGTCATAAGGTGGGTAGAAAGGCGAGCACAGACTCACTACATCCCCTCAGATGTAGTCCCCAGGCTGCAACCCTACTAATCTCAGCACCCCATCCCTACCAAATCCAGCACAGCTCTAGAAAAGCTGTCCCCAAGGGAAGTCACCTGTCACCAGCAGAGGAGACAGTGTTCAACATGCCCCCGGGGCCACATGAGCACATGTGCACACCCCACAGGGCTCCCTGGAACAGAGGGCACAGAGGGCCAGGTGGGAGCGCAGCTTCCTGAGCAGGCGAAAATGAGCAGGGGCCACCGGGCCTTGGAAATGGAGACCTGTGTGCCCACAAAAAGAGGGGACAGATGATTTGAGAATGAGAATAGGGCCTGTGGGGGGGGGCTTGGTGAGGAGGTGGGGGGAGGGGGGGACAGGCCTGAGGGTCAGGCCAACGGATTGTAGACAGGAGGACAAGGGCCTGAGGGTAGCAGGAGGCTCCTGATCTAAGGGAGAGGGTGACACGTTTGCCCTCTCTCCTCACCCCACCCAAGGTCAGCCCAGCATTTGAAACTCCGGGCCTGAGAGTCCTGCAGTGGGTGTGAAATTGTATCCCCAGCAGATGGCAGGGCCCAGCCAGACCCTTCTATCTATCCATCAGACACTCACCATCCACACAGGACGGCCTTGCCCGCGTGGTGCCGGCTACCTGGCCGGGAAAGCAGGAGCACTTGACCGTCTGCGAGCGCTCCTCGATGCGGTTCCGGTTACAGCAGCGGTGTGCAGTGACCACCTCACACGCGCCCTGCTGGCCAAGGACTGAGGAAACACAGTAAAGATGCCCCCTACCCCCCACCCTTCCTCTCTCAGGCCCTGCGGCCAGCCTGGAGGAGGGAGGGAGGAGATTCCCAATAGGGGGGAGGGTGGGGGGAGTCTCTCTGCCCCTACTTGGGGTTCGGTCTTCCCTTCTTTCCCCTCAGGGCAGAGCCTGGCCTCTGAGCAGACGGCAGGTGCGGACCCACACCGCCTGAACCCCAGGAATTACAGCACACGGGACAACCATCTGCTTACATGGCCTTTAGCCTTCCCAGAAGGAAAAACTCTGGTCAGGCCAGGAGGTGAGACTTAAACCCCTTCGCAGGCCTCCCTCCAAACCACTGTCCAGCAGGACCCAAAGGTGACCCACCCACACCTTCTCTGGCCGGGGTAGCAGAGAGGGGACAGGATCAGGACCCCGAGGACCTGTAGGTTTCACCCCGCCTAGGAGAGCACCAGGACCTGGGTGGGTCTTGGTGGGGACAGGGGATTGTTCTGCTCTCCAAGTAGCCTGGGAAATCCACCCCTGCAGGGCCCAGCATATCCCCAAACCTGCAACAGTTGGAGACTGTGTGGAAGCCGAGGCCAGCAGTGGCCACAGATAGGCCAGGCCCAGCACCCACAGCCAGACACCTGTGCTCCGGTCCCACGTGGCCTTCTTGCGCATCCTGCAGAGACAGTTGCTTACACACACACAGGAATTCACTGCACCCCACCCTGGGACCTAGCCTCAGTGCTCAGAGCCACGGGCTCCTGAAGGTACTGAGGAGGGAAAGATGCACACCTGGGCCCCAGGCAGCTCTCCGCCTGGCCCTCGAAAGGGGTGAGTGCAAGAGCAGACAATGGGAGCCTGGTAAATCATGGAAAGTTTCTTGATGGAGACAACCTTTCAGAAGGACCTTAAAGGCTGGGCCTGACACGGTCCCCTGGTGGTGGAGAGCTGTGACATGGTACAAACAGTGAGGCATTACTTGTTCTCAGATTTCTGGGGCCCAGGGAGAGAGTTCAAAGGGTCGGGATCCCAGGCTCAGACCCTAGCACTTTCTGGGTCTCCTACTACCAGCTAGAGAAACTCCATGCGGGAAGTAACTCAGCACAGCAAACAGTCCAATTCCACATGAATCTCCTAAAGAGTAGAATTATCAGTACGCATTTTATGGAAAAACAGATACTTTAAAAATCTGGACACTTGGGCTGCTTGCCTTGCACATGGCTGACCCAGGTTTGGTCCTCATCGCCCCATATGTTCCCCTGAGCCACATCAAGACTGATCCCTGAGCACAGAACCACAAGTAAGCCCTGAGCACCACCAGGTGTAGTATGGATACTGTGGCTGTAGAGAAAATACAGTGGGTAAGGGCTTGCCTTGCTGCAGCCAGCCAGGGATCAGTCCCCTTCACCCCATACAGGCCTGCAAAGAGTGATCCATGAATGCAGAGGCAGGAGAGAGCCCAAAGTACAGCCAGGTGTGGCCACAAAGCAAAACAAAGAACCCTGAATGCTTGAGTCCCTTACATGGCTTAGGGGCAAAAAGCGCTTGTCTTCTAAGTATGAGAGCTGCAAGTTTGAATTCTAGGTTCTGCCTCCACAGGCAGAATGAGGTCCCAGCAGCTCTGTGTAGGGTATATGGTACCCCAACAAAGCAGTAGAGTGTGTGATCCCTCATGCACCAAAGCCAGGTGTGTGCAAGTGCTATGACTAAAAGTGTAACCTGGGCCCAGAGAGATAGTATAATCGGTCGGATGTTTGCCTTGCATGAGGCAAACTCAGTTGGATCCCTGACACCCATATGGTCCCCAGAGCCCAACCAGGAGTGATCCATGAGCCAGGAGTAATCCCTGAGCATCACTGGGTGTGACCCAAAAAACAAAAATAAGAAACTGAAATAAATAGAAGTGTGGCAAGCATCATATTTAAGCATGTGTGCATGTGTATGTGTTTGTGTGACTCCTGGTCATTGCAAACACCAACAAACATTACAAAAAGGAAGAGGAGAGTAATGTGAAGGGGAAAGCCTGGAAGCAACCTCGAGAGCCTGCAGGGCAGACTCGGGAAAGTACTGATAAACAGCAGTGTCTAATGGGTACAGTGCTTAGCAGGTACCTGTGAAGGAGAGAGCCTCAGGACTGGGTGAGCAGTGCTCTGCAGGGGGGAAGGAATGCCTGGGGTTGGGAGACCCAGATAGAAGGGACTCTTGGTTTTGTTTTTGTTTTCCTCCCCAGTGCTTTTACTTTGGAGGCTCTGAACCATGGAAAAGTTCTAGTATGTCAAGTAAAACAAAATTTAGGGGGAGAGGGGGGCGTGGAGACTTAGTACAGTGGGTAGGACACTGGCCTTGCACAGGACAGACCCTGGTTCGATCCCTGACACCCCACATGTTGCCCTGAGTATTTCCAGGAGTGATTCCTGAGTGCAGAGACAGGAGTAACCCCTGAGCAATGCCAGGTGGGTTCCCCCAAAAATTAATTTTAAAAGGGAGAAATGAGGGTCAGAGATAGTACTGAGATACAGACGCTTGCCTTGTATGCAGCCTACCGCCGTTCGATATTTAGGACCACATGTGGTCCCCCAAGCACTACCAGGTATGGCCCAAGTCTCCTCCTACTCTTCCTTATCTCGACAAAATGAAAGAAGTGAAACTGGGAAGAATCATGTTAAATGTCTTTCCTGAGGTCAGGCTCGTGGTGGCAGGACTCTGCGGCCAGAACCTGCCCTATTCCTGCTTCTGCAGACTCGGCCTCAGCTCTCTTTCTCTTCTCTTCCTCCTCCTCTTCCTCCTCCTCCTTTTCCTCCTCCACTGCTTCCTCCTCCTCCTCTTTCTCTCCTCCTCCTCCTTCTCCCTTTCTGTTGTTTTTCTGGGCCACACCCAGCACTTCTCAGGGCTTTCTCCTGGCTTTGTGCTCAGGGCCCGTTCCTAGCAGAGTTCAGGGGAACTTATGGGGTGGAGGGATCAAACAGTGCCTTGCCCCCAACTATCTCTTCTGCTCTCACTGCAATCCTTGACAGCAGCAGCTTCCTAAGTCCAATGATGACAGCAGACACAAAGGGAAGGAGAGTCTGGGGCACAGGGACACAGAGCAGCCACAAACTGCCTGGCCCAGCAGGGGCTGTGGGCTCAGAGGGGGGCCTGGATCACCCTGGAGTTGCATGGCTGGGACCTGGGGACCCCACTGGCTGCAACACCAGACAGCAAACCCACTGCTCCTTGGAGACAGTGCTTGGATTCTCACACACGCCCGCCTCCCCTTGCTCACGCCCCTCACTTACCTTTCAGGGGGTCTTTCCTCTTCTGCCTACTCATCCGCTGGCCTCAGATGCCCTCTACCTGATGAGTAGGAAAGATTCAGTCTAGGGGGAGCAGAAAGGGGGTGCTGTAAGGGGCAGAGGGAGTCAACAGCCCACAAAGGGTGGAAGGCAGAGGGCAGGGGATGTGCTGGACCTCAGATGCCAGCCCCGGGACTGTACCCAGCAGTCAGGCAGAACCAGCTCTCTTCTGCCCGGGAGATTCCAGGACTGCTTGCAGCCTGGGGGCTCTCTGCCCAGGAGCACAGCGGGGCTAATGGCAAGCACCAAGACTGCTGTCTGTTGGCCTCCCTCTGAAGGAGCGGAAGCCAGGGAAGGCTCCTGGGCGGGATCTGCCAAACTGCTGGGGAAAGAAGCTCCCAAGGGCCTGAATTCTCCACACCTCCACCTCCCACCCACATTGCACCTGCTTCCCGGGCTCGCGAGGGGTGGGTACAGCTCTGCGCTGACCCCGTGTCTGCTCCAGAAGTCAGCAGGCCTGCCAGGTCTCCCGTCTGAGAAACCACAGCCCTGATAGTGCCCACTCCTCCCTAAGGCTCCACACCCACGGGAGGGACCTAGGCAGGGAGAATGGGTCCAAGAAGGAGCCCCTGGCACAAAAGCAAGAGAGCTATGGGGGCCAGGGGAAGTGTGGTGCTGATGCAGGGATGGATGTGCTCCGGAAGTGGGCACACTCATGACTGTGCATGCTCCCCTGGTTGTGTGCACTCCCCCAGGGGCTATGCCCCCAATTGTGTGTCTTCCCGAGTGTGTGTGTTCCCCAGGTGTGTGTGCTCCCAGGTGTGTGTGCTCCCAAGGTGTGTGTATTGTCAGGGGTGTGTGTTCCCTGGGTGTACGTGCTCCCCAGGTTTGTGCTCCCTGGGGTGTGTGTGCTCCCTGGGGGTGGTGTGCTCCCTGGGGTATGCATACTCCTGGGGGGATGCTCCCTGGGGGAGTGTGTGCTGGGGGGTGTGTGCTCCCTGGGGTGTGTGCTCCCTGGGGTGTGTGCTCCCTGGGAAGTACACTCCCTGGGGGTGGATGCTCCTGGAGTATCTGTGCTCCGGGGTCTGTATCCTCCCTGGGGTGCATATACTCTCTGGGATATGTGTGATTCCGTGTGTGTACTCCCTGAACAGAGCTTCCCAGCCTCCTCGAGCCTCTTTCCCCTTTATCGAGAGGAGTTATCCTCTTTCTGTAACCCACCAGGAACCTTCATTCTAGTCATGTCTGCTTGTGGGGGGACCCAACCCCATTTCTCTCAGAACAGCCATGCCTCCCCACCCAACTCTCCCATTTCTCCTTTCTGTAACCCCACCCCCCACCGCATTCAAACATACCTGGTGGTGAACAGCTGGGCTGGGCTGCGCGTCGGCATTCTAGTCCTTCCTTAGAGCTGGAGAAAGACGGTCCAACACTTTGTTCTCGAACTTCCTCCCTCATTTTTCCAGACTTTTCTCCCTTCCAGATTATTGGGGTCTAAAGCCAGGTTAGCAATCTGCCCACCACCTGAGTGTGAGTGCGTGAGTGTGTATGTGTGTGTGTGGTGGACAAGGGGTCCCTCCCTTCTTTCTCCACTCCCGAACGGCTCCCGCCCACTCCTGCGAGATCTGGGACCAAGCACCCAGCACCTGCCAGCCCCGTGGCGATGCCCTGCGGTCCCACCCGCCGGCTGACCTGCATCCTCCCCGCGGTCCTCCCAGTCTCTGCTCCTGGGAGCAGCCCGGAGAGACGCGGTTTAGGCGGGAGCTGCCGGTGCAGCGCAGCCCGGTTCGGAGCTGTGTTCCCTTCCCCGGGGGGCTGCGGCTCGGAAGCCCGGGACTGTGGTCCAGCCCGTATCGCTGGCACGCGCACACAGTTCTCGGCTCGGGCGCGCTCCGAGCCCGCCTGGCAGAGCCCAGCCAGGTTCCCTGGGAGGCTCGCAGGCGAGTGGGGAGCGCGCAGCAGCTCGGTACCGGGTGGGAGGCGCAGCGGCCCCTGGCGGCCACGAAGGGGGAGCTCGAATTTTTGGTCTGGGGGTGCGGAAGGAGGCTGAAGGTGAGAAGCCTGACCAGGCAGTCAGGGGGGCTTAAGGATTCTAGAACACTGCTGTCAAATTCAGTAGCTGCGAGCCGTAAGCAGTTAGTTACGTTCAGAATGAAAATGAAGGACTTGAGGGGTAGCACAGCGGGAGCGTGCATTGCAAAGAGCCGATCAGGGTTCCATCCTGGCACCAAGAATGGTCCCCCAAGCCCAACCAGAAGTGCTCCCTGAACGCAGAGCCAGAGATAAACCCTGATCACCGCCGGGTGTGATCCTAAAACCAAGACGGAATAAAATAAAATCTCAGAGCAATAGTACCAGCGGGTAGCGTGCTTGCCTTGCATACAACCAACCTGGGTTCAATTCCCAGCATCCCATATGGTTCCCCTGAGCACCACCAAAAGTAAATCCTGAGTGTAGAACCATGAGTAAACCTCTGAGCATCACCCGATGAGGCCCAAACTCACTCTCTCTCTCTCTCTCTCTCTCTCTCTCTCTCTCTCTCTCTCTCTCTCTCTCTCTCTCCTCCCCCCCCCCTCAGGGCCAGAGAAATAGTACAACGGTTAGGGTGCCTGTCTTGCACGCAGCCATCCTGTTAGATCTCTAGGATTCCACCCGGTTCCCCGAGCCCACCAGGAGTGATTCCTAAGTGCAGATCTATGAGTAGCTCCTGAGCACAGCTAGGTATGGGCACCCCTCAAAAGAAAATGTCCAACCCACCACTCCTCAAATCTTGTTTCTCCTTCACTCATCACATTTCAAGAGCTGAGTAGCTATGTACAATGACAGGTTTCTCGAGGGGGCAGAAAAAATGGAGACCATTCCCATCATTACACAAAACTCATTTTCACTGGGCATCTCCAGATAGCAATGTATAGCGGTTAGCCATTTGCGGTCACAGGGGAGAGGCTGGAGAGAGGGTTCAGGGGATAAACCCCTGCAGGAACCCTGGGCTTCATGCCAACACTGCATGGTCCCAGAGCACCACTTTGGAGCACCCCCACCCCCCCCCACACACACAGCAATCCCAGAGAGTCAGGCTGCGCTCACCATGGGGTGGGGGGATTTAGGCACATAGCTGGGGAATAGAGTACTTGCCTCGCATGTGTGAAGCACTATTTGATCCCTGTACTGTCAGAAAAAATAAAATTGAGGCAGGGGGAGAAAATAGTCTCTGCACAAGAACCCTGCCCAGGTATAGGAGAGAGACCAAGCTCCTGGGAGAGCTGCCAGAACTGGTAATGATTCTGAATGGATGATGGATGTGAGCCAGACTTGGAACCAAACCCGGTGTTTTCATCATACAAGTCTTATTTTTTAAAGGGTTTTGGGCCACACCCTGCGATGCTCAGGAGTTACTCCTGAACCTGCACTCAGGAATTACTCCTGGCAAGCTTGGGAGAACATGTGGGATGCCAGGAATTGAACCCCGGTCAGCCATGTGCAAGGCAAGTGCCCTTCCCGTTATTCTCTCTCTCTCTCTCTCTCTCTCTCTCTCTCTCTCTCTCTCTCTCTCTCTCTCTCTCGCCCTTCAGCATACAAACTTCTACTGCAATTTTACTATTCTTTACAGAGCAAGATTTTGGATGTGAGAGATGTGAATTTGTCCTTTAACTAGAGAACTTTGGGGTTGGAGGAATGGGAAAGAAGTAAGGAAGAACAGTCTAGCTCTAATACAGGACAACCCAGACAAGATCAAGGGGTCCCTCATTGGTCAGTCAGTGAGCAGAGAATATATTTGTTCCTCTGGAATAGTCAGCTTCATCCTACCCAGTCCCCTTCATTCACTATGCTCCGGGAGGTGCAGGGCTGATGCCTTCCTCATTGGGCTCTGGGGCAGTCTGAGGGTGAGGGTGTGAAGGTGCCAGGAATAGGAGGTAAGAGATTCCAGGAGAGAAGAGCCTGGATATTTGGGTATAACTGTGGGACTGTACCAGATCCCAGGGGAGCCACTGATGGTGCAGTGAGGGGGCCTCTGGTCACTTGGCTTGTGTGGACCTAGCATCACCCAGGGAGGAGGGCTGCGAAGAGCAGGGGTGAGGGAGCAGGGTGACAGAAGTGGTAAACCAACTGTCCCAGAAACACTGAATAATAAAAATAGCCAGGATTTTTTTTTGTCATTGGCTTGCAAGCTCTCTCTCTCTCTCTCTCTCTCTCTCTCTCTCTCTCTCTCTCTCTCTCTCTCTCTCTCTCTCCCTCCCTCCCTCTCTCTCTCCCTCCCTCTCTCTCTCTCCCTCTCTCTCTCCCTCCCCAGCATCCCATATGATCGATCCCCTGAACACTGCCAGTAGTAATTCCTGAGTGCAGACCTAGGAGCAACCCCTAAGCATAGTCCTGTGTGCCCCCAGCAAAAAGCAAAAATTAAAAAAAAATTTTAAAAAGTTGAAGGGCAGATGTGCGGTATAAATGTCTCCATGGATGGAAAGTGCCTTGTAGCCCGTGTTCTTAATAATTGGTGCTATTGCTGTTATCCTTTCTAACTAGTAGGGGAAGGTCTCAAAGTTGGAGTCCTGGGAAACGGAAATCGGGGTGACAGCCGCTGTCCCACATCGGGAGAGGTGATCTTCATAGGAGCCCAGGATCTTACCGCCACCCCTCACCCCAGTTCAGGATGCTCAGCAGCCCCAACTGGAGGTGCTATCACACCTGTGCTAGTCACCCGGCTCCAGCACCCCCCGCCCCCCGCAGCCCGGCCACGACCCACGGAGAGCGCGGCGGCACCACCTCGCGTCACAAAGGGGGAGTTCGAGCTGGTGCCTGCTCTAGAGCACGGCTGAAACCGCGTGTCCTTGTCCCGTCCGCTTCCCGCAGTGAGCGACCGTCTCGGGAGAGGGGGGCGGGAGATGCCGGGGGCCGGTGGGGGGCGGCTCCCGGGTGGGCGGAGCCAGGAAGTTTGGACGCGGGGCACCGTGTCGGTGGAGCCAATGGCCGGGCAGCACTATCGGGGCGAGGGAGGGGCGGGGCGGGGCCTGTGGGGCGGGGAGGGGGCGGGGCCTGCAAGGCGGGGCGGGGTGGGGCCGCGGCGGGGCGGGGCTGGCGGCAGCATGCTAAGCCGGGTGCGCTGCGCCGTGGCGCACCTGGTGAGCCCCGGGGGCGCCCCACCTCCTCGCCCGGAGTCCCCCGAACTGCCCCACACCACCTCGTCGAAATCCGCCGTCCCTCCAGAAGCGCCCAGGAGCCCTCCGGCACGGGCAGGGAGCGCCGCAGCCGCGACGACGGCCGAGGCTCGAGCGGGCTTCTCCCGACCGACCTTCCTGCAGCTGAGCCCGGGGGGGCTGCGACGCGCCGACGACCACGTTGACCGCGCTGTGCAAACCCCCCCGCACACCGGCCGCTGCCTGCCCTGGAGGACGGGCTACGCCGAGTGAGCGCCCCGGGCACCCTGGACCCCCCCACCCCCCCTCCCCCGCACCCGCGCCCTGCTCGGCCGCAGTGTCCGGGCTGCTGGGATGCACCCTCGGGGGTCAGGAGCGCCCTTCCCCGGCTCAGCCACCCACCCTCCCGCCCATGCCCAAGTCAGCGCAGCCTTTTCTCGGGACCTTGCAGCCAGTTGGCGGCCCCGAGGGTGCAGGGCCCCGCCGGGGAGGCGTTGGCCAGCTCTGGGTGCCCCCCGGCACTCTCTGCCCGGGAGAGGAGGGCTTTCAGGAGCTGGGACACTCTAAGGGAAGGCGGGGGAGACACGGTCTGAACTTCCCGACCCAAGCGCCCCAGTTCCCCGTCCCTCTAGCGGTCCCTTCCCCCTCCACACCCAGAAATAGCCCGCGACACCAGGCGGCGGCCGCCGGCTTTCCCGGGGCGGGGGAAGGGCCGCCCCTGGAAGCGGGGAGAGGGCAGCGGGGGGCGGGGGGGGTCCCTCAAGGGCCGAGGAAGGACGCGGCCCCCTGGCCGGGGCTGCCTTGCAGGCTGGGCATCGGTGGGAGAGCGGAGTCCGAAGCCCAGCGGGGCTGGGGTAGGAAGCCGGGGGTGGCGGCCGCTGGACCCGCCCCACCCTGCCCCACCCCTCCTTGGGCCTCCTGGGTTCGAGGAGTCCGCGGTGCTTTGGCCCCTGCGCAGTGCAGGTGGGCTTCCGTCCCGCCTCGGTGGCGGCACTCGCGTGCGGGCGCAAGCGCTTCCTCGCCAGAGCCACAGAAACTTGCGCTAGCAGGGCCTGGGGGGGGGGGGGGGGGGGGGTAAGGGCGGGGCGGGCGGCACCGAGGAACTGGTGGGGATTCGCATGGGATGCACGGTAGTGCCAGCAACAATGTCAAACCTCCTGTCTCCCACCAGTCCCCTTCACTGGGGATGCCCAGGTTGCCCATTCTGGGAAACTGAGGCAGGCAGGCGGTGTCTCCGCAGACCCCGCAGACTACACCGAGTGTTTACCTTGCCTTCCTTCTCCGCGGCCCTCTGGCCTCTATCCCAGGTGGCTGTGACCTTTTGCAGCTTGGCCAGCAGGCCAGAGGGGGTGTGTATGCCGAAGGTGGGAGTTATTCCTGGGCCTGGTCTGGTGTCCAGCCTGATGTGGTCACTCTGGACTTGGCAGGGTCATCAATGCCGGCAAGAGCCGGCACAATGAAGACCAGGCTTGCTGTAAAGCGCTGCGTCTGGAAAGTCGCAGGGGTGTTTCTGGGGCATCCAGGGAGTCTAGCGGAAGTCTGGTAAGCCCCCACCCTCATCTGGCCCTTCAAGACACCCCCAGGGACTCCAGGCATCTAGTTTCAGATCTGAGGCGTGTGGAAAGCCTACCCCAGATCCACTAGCTCTCTCCCTTCTGCATAGCACAGAATCTTCATCTGGCATCATCTACCCTATTCTGCCATGTCAGTGTGAATGTTAAACTTAGCACGGTTATGGGGCCAGAGAGACAGGACTGTGGGTGGGCACTTGCCTTGCATGCACATGGCCGACCCGGGTTCAATCCCCAGCATCCCATATGGTCAGAAGTAGTGTCTGAGTACCTAAGCACCACTTGGTATGGTCCAACCCCCCCCACCCCGCAAATGTTGTAGAGGCTCATATATTGGGGATGATTTGAAAAATTACCAGCAGCAATTATTTCTGCCTTTTTTTTTATCTTCCTAGTTTGGTTTTCCAGACATACTTTATTTGACATAACTTTAGTGAATAAGTCTCATTTTCCTTTTAATATTTACCTCTGACCTCTCTGATTTTTATATGGGTGCCCGGTCTTGTTCGTCCTTTATCTCACACATACACTCTCTCTCTCTCTCTCTCTCTCTCTCTCTCTCTCTCTCTCTCTCTCGCTCGCTCGCTCTCTCTCTCTCTCACTCACGCACACATTCACACTCACACACATTTACACAGACACCCTCCCCACACACACTTTCTCACATCAATTTCTCCCCTGCAGCCCCTCTGCTTCTACTACTGGGGCCTGTTTGACGGGCACGCTGGGGGTGGAGCGGCTGAAATGGCCTCCCGGCTCCTGCACTGCCACATCCAGGACCAGCTCAGGGACCTAGTCGAGATCCTGCAGACCCCGTCACCACCTCCCCTCTGCCTCTCCACGCCCGGGGCTCCAGGGTCCTCTGATCCCTGTGCCCCGGCTGGTCTCCAGTGGCAGAAGGAAGTGACTCACGAGAGTCTGGTGGTGGGCGCCATTGAGAAAGCCTTCCAGCTCATGGTGAGTGTGTGGGCCAGGCTGGGGCGGGTGTCAGGGGTGGACCTCGGCACCCATACCTTTGAAAGCCTGAGCAGGGGAAGGGCGGAGGGGAATCTTTCCTTCAGGATCCTGTATGACTCCACGGGACCAGTTCATTTCTGCGGCTGGAGGCAAGGGTGGCAGTGCCCAGAACTCTTATCTCCCCCACATAACCTCTCCTCCCTGGCAGGATGAACAGATGACTCAGGAGCAGCACGGCCACCACGTTGAGGGGGGCTGCTGTGCCCTAGTTGTGGTCTACCTAGTGGGCAAGGTGTATGTGGCAAATGCCGGTGACAGCAGGTACGGGGGTCCCGCTCTGAAAGAGTGAGGGCGGGGGGTGGGGGGAGATAGAATGAAAGAGCAAAGGGGATTGATGGGATTATCCTCAAAAGGTAAGGACTGGAAGAGCCACCGTGGCAGGACTGATGGAGGCTGGGGTGAGGCATCCTCAGGGACAGTAACGGGGAGGGCCTGGTCTTTCTGAGACTTTCCAGAAGGATGCTGAGGAGAGAGCCAAGCCCAAACCTATTCTTTCTCTGGCAGAGCCATCATTGTTCGGAATGGTGAGATCATTCCCATGTCCCGGGAGTTCACGCCAGAGACCGAGCGCCAGCGTGTTCAGCTGCTGGTGAGTTGAAACAAAACTCTTCCTTACTGTACACTGCCAGGCGTTACCCCAGCGCCCTGCCCACAGAGCATGCGCAGTTTCCACAGCCCGCAGCTCCCATTCTCTCTGAGGTCTCACCTTCTCTGAGGTCTCGCGTCCTTGCCACCCAGATGGTTCCTCCCTGGAGCTCCTGGGAGGTCCCTGCAGACAGTGGAGTGCCGGAAGGAGCCAGCACACTGCCCTGAGTGCCCAAGGAGGCCCGTGAGGAAGGAAATGCAGGCAGAGGTGGAGGAAGGAAACAGCAAGACCCGGAGGGGCAGTGTGGCCTGGAGCTTTCACCCTGAGTCTGATCCCCTTTAAGGACAGCATGAGCGAGTCCTGACCAAAGCCCTGCAGTAGCGCCGGGGCACCACCATTGGAGCCCCAAATCCTCCCAGAAGCAGTAATAACAATAAGAAAAAAAATCCCTAAAAATTCCCTTTATTTTTTGGGGGGGTGGGGGGGTGCCAACCCAGCAGTGTTCAGAGGTCACTCCTGACTCTGCACTCAGGAAATTCTCCTGGCAGTGCATGAGGGGAACATATGGGGTGCTAGTGACTGAACTTGGGTTGGCTGTGTGCAAGCTAAGTGCTGTACCGTCTCTGTTGTACTATCACTCTGGTCCCAAATTCACTTTATTTTTTAAAGCAAAAACTAGATCAGCGGTCTTGGAGCAGGTCTGCCAGGGGTTGGATCCTGCTTCCAGTACTTTGCTGTCAGAAAGGCTGTTGTGATACTTGAGGGCTGGAAAGATAGTACAGGGTGGGCACTTGCCTTGTAAGTAGGTGATAGCAATTTGACCCCAGCACTGCATATGGTTTCCAGAGCACCACCAGGAGTGATCCCTGAGCACAGAGCTAGAAGGTAACCCCCCCACTACCACCATCAATAAAAATTTAAGGATGTAGCTAAGCAGAAGAGCACTTGCCTGCCTTGGTGGTAGGGCCGGGGAGATAGTACACCGGGCAGGGTGCTTGCCCCGGCACGCCCTAGTGTCTTCCAAGCCTCGTCATGAGTGATCCCTGAGCACAGAGCCAGAATAAGCTCTGAGCATCTCTGGGTGTGGCCCCCAAACAAAATGAAACGAAAGGATATATTGTATACTCTGGTGAGTCTGTTGGCTGTAATAGATGTCCTTCTCTCTGCCACCTGCCTAATGCCCCTTTGCTTTGTCTGCCCCCCAATCCTAGGGCTTTCTGAAACCAGAGCTGCTGGGCACTGAGTTCACCCACCTGGAGTTTGCCCGCAGGGTACAGCCCAAGGACCTAGGCCAGAAGATGTTGTACCGGGACCAGAACATGAAGGGCTGGTAACGCTCCCCTAGAACTGGGACTCGTTTCCATGGCAACCAGACCTGTTCCTGACCAGCAGCAATGTGGATGCTGGAGACAGGCTCGGGGCGGGGCGCTGGGGGGTGTGCTCCCACCCCCCACCCCCCACCCCACCGCAGGGCTGCGTGGATGGAATCTGGCTCCCAGGGCAGGGTGCGGTGATGCTTGGTGATGCCTCCTCTTCTCCTCCTCCCCAGGGCCTACAAAAGGATCCAGCGGGAGGATCTCAGGTTCCCTCTGGTCTGTGGGGAGGGCAAAAAGGTAAAGGCCCTGGAGAGGGGAGAGACTGTGCCCAAGGAAGGAGCCGTGGTGTCAGTGAGACCAGGAGAGCTCCAGCAGCTCCCCCTCTTCCTCTTCTCCAGGCTCGAGTGATGGGTACCATTGGGGTGACCCGGGGCTTGGGCGACCACAATCTCAGGGTCTGCAGCTCCACCCTGCCCATTAAGCCCTTCCTCTCCTGCTTCCCAGAGGTGAGCCCAGGGGACCCTTTTTTGCCACATCTGCCTTCTGGGCGGTGCCCCCCTCCCCAGGTGCTCTCTCCACCCTCACCTGCCCACAGGTGCAAGTGTACGACTTGGCACAGTACGAGCACTGCCCGGATGACGTGCTAGTTTTGGGGACAGACGGGCTATGGGATGTTACTAGTGACTACGAGGTGGCTGCCACTGTGGACAGGGTGCTGTCAACCTATGAGCCCAATGACCCCAGCAGGTAGGGGACGTCTGGTGGCACGGGGATGAGCAGAGGCAGGATGGGGCTGAGGGGAGTCATGCTTGGGGGCCCATATGATGGCCTGTGCCCCCGTCTTCCCCATGCATGTCATACATGAGTGTGCACATGTGCTCCTGGCAGGTACACGGCTCTGGCCCAAGCTCTGGTTCTAGGGGCCCGGGGCAACCCCCAGGACCGTGACTGGCGTCTCCCCAACAACAAGCTGGGTTCCGGGGATGACATCTCGGTCTTCGTCATCCCCTTGGGCGGGCCATGCATTTACTCGTGAGGGGCTCAGCCCCAGCCTCCTGCCACCATGCCAGCGTTTCCGTGCCTACTCTTTCCCTGGCCCAGATATTGAAGTTGTTTCCCCGGCTTTCTTTGGTGGCAACGTAACTGAAGAAGGGGTGTCCGTGACACCCCAACATTACTGAACCTGAGCTATTGGCAAATAAACCAGATAGATAAAGATGTGTATCTTTGTTTACTTTGACTATGAACCAAAAAATGAGGACACGTTCCTGGGTGTGATGGAAAGAATGCCAGGATGTCTCTAAAAATCACTTCCCCTGGGATTTTTCTCATACCCTCATTTCCTCTTGGTCTGTGCACGCTCACCCACTTCCATTCGCTCTTGTCTTCTACATCAGGAGCCCAGCTCAAACCCTTCCTGATCTTTCTTTGTTCCTCCCCTCTCCTCCCTTACCCCCTCCCCCTAACTTTCCCTCTCCTCTCCCCTTTTTATTCTTCTTGGGTCATTCCTGGCTTTACTCAGGGCTTCCTTCTGGTTCTGTGCTCAGGGGTTAGCCAGGTGCAAGGAAGTGCCATATTCTCTGTACTATATGTCCAGTCCACTTTTGCAGTACTAGGGCTAGAACCCAGGGTGCGTGAGCTCTAGCGCTGTGCTTCATCCTTCCTGACATTCAAAGCCTCGTGCCCTAGTGGTCTCCCGAACACCTTTGACATCCATAGGCATTTCAGCCTGATCTGCCTCAAACTGAACTCACTTCCCTGTAAATTGCTGGTTACTCTGGTTACCATCGTTCATCATCTCTCTGGGCATCCACTCAGCTTCTCATATTCAAAGTGAAGTGAACAGGCTAGCGCTCAGCGGTAGCCTTGCTTGTGAATTCAGTCCCTGCCCTGGAGAGAGACAAAAGAAATCTCAGAGTTGGGTAATTTTTTGGCTTCCATTTCTATGTATTAAGCGAATCAGGAACTTTTGGCTGTGTGGCTTTTAAATATATATTTCCTATTTGTAATTCATCTCCACCTCCCCATGCCCTACTGCCCTTTTTTATGCAGTGTGTGTGTGGGCTGGAGTGATAGCACAGTGGTAGGGCATTTGCCTTGCATGAAGCCAGCCCAATCGAGCTGGGTTCGATTCCTCTGCCCCTCTTGGAGAGCCCGGCAAGCTACCGAGAGTATCTCGCCCGCACGGCAAAAGCCTGGCAAGCTACCTGTGACGAATTCAATATGCCAAACACAGTAACAACAAGTCTCAAAATGGAGACGTTACTGGGCCCGCTTGAGCAAATCGATGAACAGGAGGACAGTGACAGTGAACAGTATGTGTATTGGGGGGTAGGGGGGTAAGTGGGAGGTTTGTTCCATATCTATGGTGCTGAGGAGCTATTCCTGACTCTGTGTTTAGGGGTCATTCTTGGCAGTTGGGGATTGAACTGGGGTTGACCATTTGCGACATAAGTGTCTCAGTCCCTGTGCTATCTCTCTGGCTTGCTTCAGTCCCTCATAGCAACCTCCTAACCCCGGTTTCAGTTCACTCCCAGATATCAGGGGCCAGCAGCCAGGACCACCTTCCACAGAATGAATGAGCCTGTTACTCCCTTCTGGGAACACTTTGGTGGCTCTCATGGTCATTAGACTAAAATGAGTGCGCAGGAGTGGCACAGAGGCACGTTCCCAGTATGACTTTTCGACCCCATTATTTCACACTTCACTACCCCACCTCCTAAGGGTTTCTGCAACTCCAAGCCTGTAGCATCTCCAGTGCACTGGAAACTGACACATCACCTTACCTGGAACCCTTCACCTGTTCCTCAGGGCTGGGCACTGCCTTCTGAATTTTAGTTTCAGATTTTGAAACACCCGACCATGCTCAGGACTTATTCCTGGCTCTGTGCTCAGGGATTGAACCCACCAGGGCTTCAATCCCTAGTAGTGCTTGGGGGACCATATGTGGTATCAGGGATTGAACTGGACTTGGCCTTATGCAAGGTAAGCACTCTCTCCCTGTGCTATCTCTCCAACTCAAACTTCTGAATTTTAAAAAATTGATTTCTTTGGGCCACATCTTGTGGTGCTCAGGCGTTACTCTCTGGCTCAGCACTCAGGGGCCCATGTGATAGGGACCAGGCCCAGGCCTTCCCAGATGCAGGTTAGCCCTTTCTGCTGCCCCCTGCCCACTCCCCCCACCCCACCTCACCTTCTAGATTTTGTTTTCTATTGGGAATTGGCAGTTAAGACTAGAGATCAGGGGGCTGGAGCAATAGCACAGAGAGTAGGGCGTTTGCCTTGCACACTGCTGACCCGGGTTCAATTCCCAGCATCCCATATGGTCCCCTGAGCACCGCCAGGGGTAATTCCTGAGCGCAGAGCCAGGAGTAACCCCTGTGCATTGCCAGGTGTGACCCAAAAAGAAAAAATAAAAAAGACTAAGGATCAGTAGGTAGGACACTAACCTAGATTAAATCCTTGGCACTATATATGGTCCCTAGAGCCCACCAGGAGTGATCCTTAAGCGCAGTCAGGAGCAGGCCCTGCGTACAGGTAAGTATGCCCCAACTCCCCCCCCCCCCAAAAAAAAGACAGGGGCTCCAGAGTTCTGCATATAGGTTCTGGCGCCAGACCCAACACTTAGTTTTCTGCTGCTTCTCAGAAAAAGATAAAAATAGTATCTCCAAAGGTTATTCTGAAGTAGTTCATATAGCCAGTGGTATAATAAGGGTTCAATAACTGTTAGCTCTCTTTAAGTTGCCTGGCTTCCAAATTTAGACTGCAAGTTCTTTGAAGGCAGAAATCGATGTGAACTGAGAGATAAAGCTCTCAGTTCATATTCAATAAATATTTGTTGAGCCAGTTAAGAGACCTAGGGGGTGTGCCACACCACTCTCAGCCTGGTTCCTCGTAAAACGTGTGGCTTGTGCTTCAGATCTTTAAAGTCGATGAAACCAGAGAGATAGTACAGGAGGTAGGGCATTTGCCTTCACATTGCCAACCCAGGTTCAGTCCCCGACATCCTACATGGTACCCTGAGTACCACCAGGAGTAGTGATTGCTGCATGCAGAGCCAGGTGTGTCCCTAAACTCTCCTCCAAAAAGCAATTTAAAAATAAAGTTAATATGATTTCTAACCTAAATTTATTCAGCAAATACTGAAAGCCACATCCTTTGCTGGACGGTGGTCAAAGGAAGGTGGGAGAGCATAGAGCCAGTAGCTGGAAAGGCACAGGCTAAGTTTCTGCTCCTTCTGTGCAAGCTGTAAAATGATGGACAAGCTGTTTAACCTCTCTGAGCCTCCGTTTCCCTAGACCAAAGATCTGGAATGAGTATTAAAAGGTTCAGTTATATAAGGTATGGCACACAGCTACTCATAGTGTTAATGGATGTCCTCAGCTTCCATCCACCTCCACAGCCACTTAACAGAAAAGGAGAAGGAGTTAAATATCCAGTGTACAATTCAGGCATAACTAAAGGTCCCTTGTCACCCAGAAATGATAAATGGGGCCAGAACCAAATTCCCCACTGGGGATCTAAGATTTCCAAGAATACACTTTGCAGGGTTAGGTAGGAATCAAACTCAAGAAAATTCCAGGCCCTGGGAAGGAAAAAAACATTGCTAAGGTGGAGAGTGACCTGGGCCACAGATATTTTCAGTCTTCAAGGTGGGCCTGGCAGGAATGATGTCAGGCTGTACTTTATTAAGATTCTTGGACCGGAACAGAGCAAGTAGGGCGTTCACTTTGCATGCAGTGGACCTGGTTCAATCTCTGGCACCCACAAGGTCCCCCGAGCCAGCCAGGAGTAAGCCGTGATCACCGCCTGATGTGACTTTTTAAAAAAAAGCGCATATTTTTAATAATATGCTGGGCCAAGGGAGAGCGGCATTAAAGAATCCCTGGAGTGGAGGCCTGGGTTCAATCTCCAGCATCTGCTGGAAGCAACCCCCGAGCACCACAGGGAGTGGCCCTAAAATAAAACAACACAAAATTCCTGGAGCAGAGGGTGAGGGTGGGAGTCTTTCCCATCCGTGTATCCGTCCGCCTTCCCAGCCCCGCGTCCACGTCGCGGTCGTGGCCGGGTCCCGCCACCCGCGGTCCCAGGTCGGGTAAGTGCGGGCGGGGGGCTGGCCACGAGAGGGCAGCAGCGGCCCTTTGCTCACCCCAAACCCTAGCGCCTCACCACTTTCCCGAAGTCTGTTCGCCAGGAGGGCGGGGCAGCGGCAGAGCCGCTGGGGTCCCGCCGCCCCCTCACTTACCGTTTCGGAGTCCGGAGGCTCGGGACGGGAGATTGGGCGGAGCCAAGGGCGCCCCGCCCCGGGACCGACCCTCTAGCCACGACCCTCTGGCCCCGCCCATTCACTTTGGCCCCGCCCCGGGACCGCCCTTTGCCCCCGCCCTGCCCTTTAGCCCCTCCCGGAACCCCCCTCTGGCCCCGCCCATGCATCGCGGCCCCGCCCTCTGACCCCGCCCTGCTATTTAGCCCCGCCCCGAATCGCCCTCTGACCCCGCCCTTCCCTTTAGCCCCGCCCCGGGACCGCCCCTCTGGCCCCGCCTGTGCTCTTTGGCCCCGCCCCGCCCCTCTGCCCCACCCCCTGGCCCCGCCCTGCCCCCGCCGCGGCGCCGGAGGAGGGCGGGCGGCCCCTCGGGTCAGTCTCTACCTCGGACACACGCCGCGCAGCTGGAGGCGGCGGAGCGGAAGGTACCCCGGGTCCGGGACTGGGGGCGGCGGGGAGGCCCGCGAACTCTCCTCGGGGGCGGGCACTGTCCCCCTTGCCGCCGGCTGGGGGGCTCGGTCGGGCGAGCTGACCGCGGCGTCCGGGCTGTGACCGCGCCCGCCCGGCCCCGCCGCCTGCTCTGTGCGGCCAGGGGTCCCCGGAAGCTGTCCCGCGGCGTCGGGCGGCGGCTCACCCCCTCCCCGGGCCCCGGTGGGCCTGGGCGGGGCGAGGGAATCCCTCACCCCTAGCCGGGCCGGGGCCGGGGAACGGCGGGAACCGGCGGGAGCAGGGACGGCCGGCGCTCGCCCAGGGTGGACGCCGCCGGGACGTGCCCGTGGCGCCTCCCGCCCTGCGCTGGACTCGGGGCCTCTGTCGCCGCCACCCCCGGTGCCCGCGGGCCACGGAGTGCTGCCCGCAGTGGTCACCGCCTCCGCCCACCCGGTCCTCCAGCCGGGCTCGGTCCAGTCACACTCCCGGCTGGGGGTTCTCACCTGAGCGCAGTTTCCAGGGAACCCCTTCGGAAGGTTGGGTTCCACTTTGGAAGGAATCGGCCAGCAGGGTGGATGCCTTCTTGCCCGGCTTTGGGGTTTCAAGATGAGCCCCCTCCCCCCTTTTTGGTGGGAAGAATGTGGTTGTGTACTTTCAGCTCCTATAAACTCCCTCTGACTCACGCACTTCCCCTCTTCCCGGTGTGTGTGTGTGCAGGGGAGGGAGGGGGCCCTCGGCTGGAGCCTGCGTGTTTGCCTCCTGAAGAGTGGAGGGAGGTGGCGGTCTGTGGGAAGTTAAACAGCCCCGTTTGACAGGATGTGGGACGGAGGAAAGCCAGGTCGGAGCGCAGATCGGGTTACGTCCCCTGCTGCTCGGCGGCTCCCAGCCTGGAGGTGCGGGACTGGCCCTCATTCGCCTCTCCAGGGGAGCTCCTCCCAGCCCACTTCCAGCCCCTTCCCCCTGCCCCAAAGTCTGGCCCCCTCTCTTCCTCCCGGCCCAGGCCCCCAATGCGCTTCAGCCGGCTGAGGAAGTGGGGCTGGGCAGGGGGCTATGATCTGGGTGGGGGGTTGGGGTGGGAGACCCACGGAAACTCGGGGAAGCTGAGTCACAGGGAGGGGTGGGCGGGGCCTTGGGTGAGCTGGAGAAGGGGCTGTTCCAGGGAGTGGGTGGTGAGTCCCACTGACTTATTCTCCTCCGGCTTTGCTCCCTCCCTACAGTGTGGTCATTGTCCCCGCCTGAGGCTGAGTGACCCAGTGTTGCTGCCAGGCCCAGGTGGGGGGGGGTGCCCAAGGGCAGGCTGTGGGCACAGCAGGGACTGAGCCTCCTTTGTGGGACCTGGGGGGCTGGGATGGGTGGACCAGGGAAGCCTCTGGCCTCGGCCACTGCCCTGTCTGGGTTTCCCTGTGCCACTCTCCTTCCTACCCCACCCCACCCCACCCCCCAGCGATGTGTAGAAAGAGCACCAGGCTGCCGCGCCTCCGTGGCCTCTTTCGTCCAAGTAGAAAGCACATGACCTACCTGCCTTTGGGCTTCTGAAGAAGTTTGTTGGTTTGTTTGGGCCACGCCCAGTGGTGCTTGCAGAACGCACCTGGCCACCTACATGCAAAGCGTGTGCCCAGCCTGTGGAACTCTCACCCGTGGAGATGACGTCTGGCCAAATAACCAGCATAGCACCCAGCACGGCAGGGCTCCCTACGGTCCTTGGCACCGGCCTCCGTCCTGTGTGGGGGGCAGACTCCTGCTCAGGATAGCGCCTCAACAACACCCAGCAATACCCTGATAAACAAAGTGTGATGGTGCGGGTGGGTTCTGAAACCAGGCTCGGGGTGGGCTGCAGATGGAGGCCTATACTTGGGTCTGAGCTCTGCACAGTCCTCTGGGGGGCAGGGGCAGGGCTGAGAGAGGGCTCCTTTGGGATGCTCTTTCACCTGCGCTTCAGCATCAGGGAGGGAGATGACCTCTAGGAATTTCATTTGGCAAGAACATGCCTGAGCAAGCCCCCTCTCTTCCTCGACTCCTGCGCCGGATGCCGTTTTCTCAGGGAGGAGGAGGGGAGCAGAGCAGAGCTTGCTGCTTTCCTCAACGTCCCTTCTTCTCCTCCGCTAGCCCCAGCCATGGCTGCCATCCGCAAGAAACTGGTGATCGTGGGGGATGGGGCCTGCGGGAAGACCTGCCTCCTCATTGTCTTCAGCAAGGACCAGTTCCCTGAGGTCTATGTCCCCACCGTCTTCGAGAACTACATCGCAGACATAGAGGTGGACGGCAAGCAGGTGAGGCCAGGCCCTCCCGCCCCCTACCCAGGGTCTCCTTGGGGCGGGGGCGGCCTTCCTTCCTCACCACCCCCACTTCCTCGGCAACTCTTCCTGCTGGCGCCAGTGACAGCTGGAGGCGAAACTGCTGCAGAGGAAATCCTGGTTCCTTCACACGCGGGCTCTGTGCTGTCCTGGCCAGACCCTTTGCCTCTGAGCGGACCACCTTCAGAGGGTGCTTGTTTTGAAGGGTGAAACCTGGAGACCCCAGACCAAGCCTTGGCCGGGTGTGGCGAGCCCGGAACAGACGCCTCGCCCTGGGGCACAGTCCTGAGGTCACCAGAGCAGGGCCTGCCTCATGCCTCGCCTCCAGAGGGCTCCGGGAGGATAAAATGAAGGAGCTCGGGCTAGAGAGCAGCTTGGAGGCTGGGAGGCACATGTGCACACGGAGCCACATGACCCTCCCCTGAGCACCTCTGGGTATGGCCCCAAAGCCGCTAAGGCAGTTCCCCCAGCAGCACTTCAGACAACACAAAGGTGACGCCCAGGGTTGGCAAAGTCCACTTTGCCCCGTGTTGTGCGTGACGGGCTGTCCCCCAGCACACAGCGGCTGGGCCTGGGGCTTTCGGGGTCTCTGCTGAGCGACTCGCGGGTCTTTGCTGCAGGTGGAGCTGGCACTGTGGGACACAGCGGGACAGGAAGACTATGACCGCCTGCGGCCTCTCTCATACCCGGACACCGACGTCATCCTCATGTGCTTCTCCATCGACAGCCCAGACAGCCTGGGTAAGGCGGGAGAGCCCTGGGCTCATTACCAGAAGCAGCTCCCGTGGTGGAGGCCCTGGGGAGGGAGCCCCATGGCCGCCTCCACGCGAGGGCGAGGCAGGTCATCGGGCCTTGGAGAAGGGTCCTGGGAAAGGCTCTGGGGCATTCCCTGCCCCAACCTGAGGGGCTCTGTAATCTGAGGCACGTTGTGACACGTCTGCAGAGAACATTCCTGAGAAGTGGACCCCCGAAGTGAAGCACTTCTGCCCCAATGTGCCCATCATCCTCGTGGGAAACAAGAAGGACCTGCGGCAGGACGAGCACACCAGGAGGGAGCTGGCCAAGATGAAGCAGGTGCGGCTCTTGGAGAGGCCACTCTGTCCCCGCGGGCATCCTTAAGGACGGGGATCCCCTTCCCAGTCTCTGCCTGTTTCATCCCAACATTTCCCATCTCAGCCCTGGGTGGCTGGGAGAGGGGGTGGCTTGTTGGGGCAAGCTTAGTGGCGAGCCCTTACCAGAGGAGCTGAAGGTAAGGAGCAGACTCTAGCCAGGAAACCATGAAGAGAAAGTAGAGCAGGTCAGGTGCTTGGCCAACCTGGGTTCTGTCTCCAGCATCCCATATGGTCCCCAGCTCCAGCAGGAGTGATCCCCGAGTACAGAAACAGGAGCAAGCCCTGAGCACAGCCAGCTGTGGCCCCAAACCTCCCCTAACCCCCACACAAAAATAAAGGAATGCACTGTCCAGCCAGAAAAAACTTGACAAACTTTTAAAGTGGCAACAAGCACAGTCAGGTCAGCATCAGAAAACTCCTGGCAGCAACTGCAGGTGGGTCGGAAGGAACAGAGAGAGCTGGGTGGCCAGCTGGGAGGCGCCGGGTGCTCATTCCGGTAAAGCAGTGTGTTCCAGGGTGCAGGATGCTGGGGCGAGTCTGAAACGGAAGCTGTGCTGGTGGCTGGGGGTGGGGACTCCAGACTGTCAGCTCTGACCTACACCTTCTGCTTCCCAGGAGCCTGTTCGATCTGAGGAAGGCCGCGACATGGCAAATCGGATCAGTGCCTTTGGCTACCTCGAGTGCTCAGCCAAGACCAAGGACGGGGTGCGGGAGGTGTTCGAGATGGCCACGCGGGCTGGCCTCCAGGTCCGCAAGAACAAGCGTCGGAGGGGCTGCCCTATCCTCTGAGCGCCCCAGTTCCCCCACTTCCCATTAGCCCTGTTCGCGGGGTGTAGGAAGCCCCCATCACCCCACCCTCACTCTCTTGGAGCTCCATGCCCAAGGTTCCCTTTTCCAGCTCCCTCTGCCTGGGACTGCACGACATTTGGTCAGCTCCCTGGCCCCCTTGGGCGGGCAGTGGTGGGTCCTTACTCTGCCCTGATCACAGGTGGGCACCTTCATCTTTTTGGCCTTCTCTGGAGGATCACCACACACCAGCACTTTATACATTTCCAGCTCCCAGCAGTGGGGTGGGGCACGCCACGGTGGAATGGAGCCCACCCCCCACCCCCTGTCCCCCTGGCGTGGGACAGGGGCCTAGCCTGGCCTCTGGCTGTCCTTCACGGGAGGCCCAAATAAAGACTGCCAGGCTGCAACATGTGTGGCGCTTGCTGTCTGACCAAGCCTGGGGTCCATCGCCTCGTTTCAAAGTGGCCTGCAGTGCTGGCCCCCAAGCCTGGGGAGGCAGGACTGAGGCAGACAGGGTGGAGACTGGCCAGGATGAGGTCACTCCTGGCGCAGGCCGGAGGCGGGTGAGGGGAGTGGTCTGGAGTCGCTAAACTTAGAAGCCTGTGGGTGGTTGCCCCACCGCCTCCCAGGGGCCTGGGGGCTTCTGGGGCTGAATGGGACTGTCCCCCACTCCCCTCCCAAGACCAGCTCGGGAGCGCAGGAGACGACCAGGCTGAGAAGACATGGAGACTTTGGCAAAGGCAAGATTTTGTTTTCAGGTTTTCTTCCTCCCTCTTCCCCCCATTGTTAGCAGCAGCTCGTCCAGTCAGTCCCGTGGGGCGGGGGAGGGAATGGCTGGCTGTAAACGCCTTCCCCAGCCTCTGGGTCGGTTCCCGGGAGAGGGGGAGCGGGGCGGGGCTGGGTTGGGGTGCTGGTGCGGGGTGGGGCGCTTAAGGCTTGGCTGGCATGAGAAGGTGGGTGGGCGCTGTCCTCAGACCTCATTTCTCCACTCGGGCTCCACCTGCGCAGACAGGCCATCTTCCCCCTCCCGCTCTCGGGGCCCTGGAGAGAGAGGGGGTGAGTCCCACTACGGGCTGGCCTCGGCCACTCCCCCACGACCAGCCGTACCTGAGGTAGAGGCGCTGAGCTTGCTCAGGTCTTCAAGTAAGTTCTGTCCCTGCTGCAGATCCAGCTTGGCAGGGAAGGGGCATCCAGTATACCCCCCATTTTCTTTACAGAACTCCAGGAATCTGTGGGGTACAGGGACAGTCACACCCAGCTGCAGGGGCCCCCACAGAAACTGGGGGGACAGTCCTCACCCCAGGTCCTGCCACAGCAGGCTGGGGCTCTGGGCTGCCAGGCCTCCCAGCGTGTGGGTGCTGCTCATGGGGGGGGGGGGGGGCGCGGAGCCGCAAGCAGCAGGGGGCTGGGGGGGATGCTCACACTTTCCAGTCCCGGTCATGGCCCAGGAGGAGCGGGTTGCCCACCACGATGAGCAAAGCCTTAGCCCGGGTCACAGCCACGTTGAACCTCTGGAAGGAAGAAGCGGTGGAGTCACGGAGGGAAGGGCCGGAAGGACGATTTCCTGCCACCAGCCAGCCCGCAAACCTTGGGGTTCTTAAGGAAACCCAGGTTAAAGTCCAGGTCCAGTTGTACAAAGTTCTGGCTGCTGCGCACGGTGGAGATGAGGATGACGCTGCGTTCCTGGCCCTGGAACTCTTCCACGGAGCCCACCTGCAGGGAGAGCAGGGCCTGAGCCCAGGATCCCAGGGCCCCTGACAGGCAGGGGGCCGCGCCCTGGGGAGCCAAGAGCGCAGGGCAGTGTCCTGTCTTTGCAATGCTTCTGAGGACGAGCACTGACTGGGTCTTGCTAGCGGAATCCCACCCTGGGCCAGACCCAGCCGCGCTGAGGGGGAACTGGCCAGAGGGGCCTCTAGCTGGGAGCCTTCAGCTTTCCAGCCTAGCCACACGAGAGATCACCTGGGGCGCTGTAAGAAATACCTGGGCCCTGACTCTGCCCCCAGATAACCGTGCCAACAGCCGGGCGGGGCGCTGGCACCGTGCAAGGCCAAGCTCTCCAGATGATTCTTATCTGCAGGCAGCCTAGCTGCAGGCTCGGCGGGAGGGGGAGGGCAGGGGTGCGGTCACATGACAGGGCGGGCAGCCCTGGAGCTTGGACTTTATCCCCAGGACACAGTACACAGAGCAACCCGATCCCAAAGATTGTATGGGGTAATGGCTAAACCTTCAGGCTTCTGCCCCCTGGCCCAGCCCTCTGTGGGGAGTCTAGGGAGGGAGGGCCTAGGCAGAGCCCCAGGCGGTGAGGAGGAGGCACTGTGGGCAAAATGAGGAGCCTGAAGCTGGGAGAGACCGTGAAAGAGTGGGAGCTGGAGACAGTGGAGGGGGCTGGGCAGAGCGCCTGCATGCGGGGGACCCCAGTTCCATTGCCACGGGAAGTGACCCTCGAGCACAGAGCCAGGTGCCCCTGAGCACCACCAGGTAAGGCCCCAGATACAAAAGGAAGAAGGGAGGAGGGTCACCTTCAACTCCTTGATGTCATCCATGCCCCGCAGCTCTTTGTCCAATTTAGTGATGCAGTACCGGATTTTCTCCACCTGGAAGGTGGGCACAGGGACCTCTGTCATGCCACGCCCCAGTGCATGGGGGAGCCGGATAGGAGGCAGGGCAGTGACCTCCGAGCCCCCCACCCTCGAGGGGAACCAAGGGGCTGACCTGCTTGCGGTAGGGGGAGATGATGCCCACGTTTCGTGGGCTCAGGCGAGCCTTGCCCTTCTTGGAGGAGGGGGCCAGCAGCTGCTTCAGGTAGGAAATCACCGTGGACGCCTCTTCGGGGTTGAAGAAGGACGGACTGTTGCCCTCGCGCTCATCCTTGCCCATGACGCCGTGGAAGATGATGGGGAAGCCCTGGCCGTCAGGGGGGCAGGGGCCCTCAGCAGCGCTGCCCTCCGGCCCTCCCCCACCTCATCCTGCCCGACCGGGGAAGGGGACAAGGGAGAGGCCAATGGGCTTCTGCCTAGCCGCACCTTCTGGGGCAGCCCCTCCCAGTTGCAGAAACGCTCTCGGTCGATTTTGTCGGCACAGGCCTGCAGCTCCTGGTCATAGTAGAGCTGGTTGGGGGTGTCCAGGATGGTGGGGTGAGACCTGGCACGAGGGAACAGCCGGACCAGGAGTTGGAGGAATCTCTGTCCTCCTCGTCCTTGGCCTCCCCCACTTCCTGCTCTGGGCCCGGTGCAGGTGTGCCCTCGCCTGCTGGACAGTGACTGGCACACGGACCACACCACCACCACCGACCACACCACCACCAACAACCACACCCAGCACATCAGCTCAGTGTAGCGGGGAAGAGATCAGGGACCTAGAACAAAACCCAAGAATGTACTCCCACCATTATCTGATGCGCTTTACTGAAAAAACATGAAGCTGTACAACACAGGAAGTCTCAGTTACAACCACCAAATTCTGTGACGTGCCTGCCACGGAGGTTGCTAGGGGTATGGTGGGGGTAGGTGCGGGTGAAGGGTGGAGGATAGGGACACTGGTGAAAGCTGACACTGGTAGTGGGATTGGTGTTAAAATACTACATGCAAAAAAAAATGATATGCCTAAAATTCAACTATAATTCATGACTCAACTGTCACTATCACTGTCACTGTCCTCCCGTTGTTCATTGATTTGCTCGAGCGGGCCCAGTAACATTGTGAGACTTGTTACTGTGTTTGGCATATCGAATAAGTCATGGGTAGCTTGCCAGGTTTTGCCGTGCAGGCAAGATACTCTCGGTAGCTTACCAGGCTCTCCGAGAGGGGCAGAGGAATCAAACTCGAGTCGGCAGACCCGGCCGCATGCAACGCAAACACCCACCCGCTGTGCCATCGCTCCAGGCCCAGAATTCAATTATCAACTGTAAATCAGTTCTTTAAAAATTATATATGTATGTGTATATATATATATATATATATATGTTGTAAAACAATAGTTAACACTGATGTCTAGCTAAAAAGAGTAAGGACTGAGAAAGAGCATTTTATGAACTCCTGGAATAAAGCTTAGAGAGCTCTTCAAATTAGCCACCTAGGGTCTAGGGTCAGAGAGCGACTCAGAGGCTGAGCATGCAGCAGGCAAGAGGCTTGGATTCAATCCCTGGCACTGCCTGGTCTCCTGAGCACCATTAGATGTGGTCCAAAAGCCAAAATTAAAATAACAGAGGCAGCAGTAGGTTTACATCTCTTTTTCTCACCCTTTGGATGGCTTGGAAACATCACCTGGAACCTGCCCTAGACCTGTCCACAGGTCAACATGCCGCTCCAGAGTCAACCCGTGGGCAGCCGTGAAGAGGCCAGGAAGAAGCCTGGCGGCTTCCAGCGCACTCCTTCTGGCAGCCAGCCCTTGGGTGTGAGGGTGCAGGCTCACCTGTAGTTGCGTAACAGCTTAGTGATGAACTGGGAGTTATAGCCGTCCGGGCCCTTCTTGTACAGGGAGTTGTAGGTGAGCAGGCGCTCCAACAGCGAGTAGCTCAACCCGTGTCTCTGGGCGAGCGGGGAGCGCAGCACTGGCCCCAGCTGCCGGGGGTCTCCTGCAAGCACCAGCTGCCCTCCAGGGTCGCCCAACTCCTTGACTTCCAGCAGTCCTGGAAGAGGGGGCAGCAGCCTAAGATTCCGCGTGGAATCCCATGCAGAGTGGCCGCCCCGACCCCCATCCGGAGTTCCTTACCCGCTATGGCCACCAGGCACTCGGGCTCCATGGAGTGGCCAGCCTCATCGATGAAGATGTGAGTGAAGTGGCTGATGGGAAACTGGGCCGAGACCAACCTAGCAGAGGGCAGGCACATAACTACCCAACAGAACGCTCATCCATGCTGGCTCTGACTGCCCCTCCCATCTCCCGTGCCCTCAGAAACTGCCTCCCCGCCCCCACAGCCTGGGCTGTCCACTTACACATATGGTCTCCCCACCTGCTGGCCGTGATGAGAGTAGTAATTAAGACACGATATTCCTGCAGCTGCTTCTTGGCAGGAAACACAAACTCCCCCTTCTTTGCATCCCAGTTACAGCAGGGCTGAGAAGGGAGAGGCTCAGCTCTACCCACTCACACCCTGACGTTGGTTCTGAACCCCTCCCCACCATCCTGGCAGGTACAGGGCGAAGAGCACCAGCCCACCCCAGTCAGGGACAGGGCAGAGAGCGCCAGCCCACCCCAATCAGGGACAGGGCAGGACAGCGCCAGCCCACCCGAGGTCACCATGAGCAGCAGAATCCAGGGCTCCCATGTCCCAGCTCCAGCACCACTGCCTGAGACTCTTCCAGCTCCCCCCAGTACCTTG